CCCCCCCCCCTTGGCCGTCGACGCAGGATTCAGTCCCACCCTGGGGCTGTACCCTATATGGTACGTGCCTGTTCCTATGTGCCCAGCCTTCCCTGCACCTCTGTCCCTCACCTCCTCCCAGCCTCCGTGCACGACCTGACCCTCGACGTGTGTCCCAAACCTGCGCCGAGGCTGTGTTCCAGACCCACCTTGTGTCCGGCACCCTGCCTCCCCCATCTGCACTGTTTGCCTGCCTCCCAAGCCCCATGATCAGTCCATGACCAGGCCCAAGTAAACATCAAGGCCACGCCCAGGTAAACATCAAGGGTAGGCAGGCGGGAGACAGACACGCAGGCAGACAGGCTGATAGGGATACAAACATGCGTGTCTGCGTGTATGTGTGTCTGCCTGCCTCTCTGCCGACTTGGTTGTCTGTCTGCCTGCCTGCCTCATTATAGGTTCACGGCAAGTGAACTTTGAATTAGAAAAAAAAAAGTAAGAAAGAAAAAAAAAAAAAAACAGCAAGCACAGAGCCCCCTCGTACACCCAGACCCGGCGAGCAGGTGAGGCCTGGGCCTGGACCTAACACCCAAGCCTGCCTGCCTGTCTATCTGCCTGTCTGCCTGTCTGCATGCCTATCTCCCTGGGCCCGGACCCGGCAAGCACAGTTTGTCTGTCTGTCTATGCATCTCTGCGTCTTCCTGTCTGCCTGTCTGTCTGCCTGTCTGTCTGCGTGTCTGCCTGTCTGCATGCCTATCTCCCAGCCTGCCTTCACATCTGTATGTCTGCCTGTCTGCCTGTCTGCCTGCCTGTCTAGCTGGGCCCCAACAGCGGCTCAGGCCTGGACCAAACACCCAAGATTCATGGCCAGTCTGGGCCTATGTACGGGTCCACGTCTGGGCGTATGTACGAGTCCAGGTCTGGGCTTTAAATTAAAAAAAAAAAAAAAAAAAAAAAGACAGGCAGACAGAAAGACAGACAGACATCAAGGGTAGGTAGGTGGGCAGGCAGATAGACAATTAAATAGACAGACAGTTGGCTGGGTGTCAACGCCTGTACACAGGCCCAAGTATAGCCCCTCATCCAATATCGGCACGTACTCAGGCCAAGGTCTGTACCTCGGGCGAGACCAAAAAAAAAAAAAAAAAAAAAAAAAAAAGACAGG